TTAGAAAAGCAAATTAAAACAAGGGAAAATAATTAAATAAAAACGGTTCCAAATTTATTTACAGAAAAGAAAATATGCATAATTAACTAAATTAACTAATATTGTAAAAAAAAAATTATCTAAAAATAAACAGAAAATGTGATAAATAGATAAAAAAAAATATTAAAAAATTTAATTAATGAAAAAATTATAAGTTAATATTCTCCTACATTTTGAGGATGAACCGGAATAAGATTATGTAAGTCTATAAATAGACACATTTTTTATTTAATTATTTAGAAAAGCATTTAAAAACTACAAACTAATCGTTTTTTCTGACTTGCAAATGAGTAAAACACCTTAAATTAAAATCAGCACTTCAACTATCAAATTTTAACACGATCTTTACTCTCAGAATAAACGACCTTCATAACCCCATCATTCACAGAATCGTACTACGTAAACAAAAACAAATCATTTACATTAGCCATTAAAAAATATCACTCAATCAATGGGAATTTGTATGACTTTTCCGACTCAATGCAGTTTGCAATGTTGAAAACGTTACAGCAATATTGCGTTTTCCACTTACACATGCTCTCCATCCGATATAGTATGTAATTTCCACTGCTCTTACATTTCACACATAATGACTCATAACACCCAAACCGCTAACCAAATAAAACATTCGTACATAAACAACTACAACTGCGAAAACCAACATAACATTCGTGAAAAAATTATCGCGCTTGTTATTTTTTTCGCGACGTGCTGTCGATAATTATGCACAAACATATGTATGTACGTGTAATTTATGACTGCTCACATTTCATGACTTTTCAACCCCAGCAAAAATTATTCATGCAATTTTCTTCACCATTTTCGATATAAACAAGCTTATTTGGACTTTTTTGTGAGTGCGTTCGGCGGCGGTAATTCATGAATGTTTGCTCGCGCATTTTTGTTATTGGAAAGACTTTACACCCTTAAAATGCGGTTTATGGTAGTGTGGGGCCCAGTGCTTAAAAGCAGCATGTACTTATGAGAATACACATAAGAGCATGTTCGTTGAAAATTTGCAGCGTAAGCTTGACTAATATCGATAACATATAAAATTATTTCAATCTAAAGCAATTGTATTCATTATTAATTCAAAGAAATTCCGATCTGCAGTTTACTCGGTGATTGTACCGTTGTTTTGAAAAATAATTCATGCAAAATTTCGTAAAATATGTTGAAAATAAAAAGGCTTTCCATACAAGGATGTGTTTTTGATCTACAATTTATATATAGTGATCCGATCTTAAAAAATTAGTTCGAAGAAGGTGGTGTTGCCATGAATGGTAATCCTTGCTAAATTTCGTGACGATATCTTGTCAAATAAAAAAGTTTTCCACACAAGCCCTTTACGCCGATGGTTCAGTTTGTATTGCAGCTATATAAAACATAGTGATACAATCTCGACCGCTCCAACAAATAAGCAGATTCTTGGTGGGGAAAGAACTCCTACAAAATTTCAGATCCATATCTCAAAAACTGCGGGACTAGTTCCCGTATGTACAGACGAACAGACCGATGATCATAGCTAAATCGACTCAACCCGTCACGCTGATCATTTATACTTGTATGTACATACATACATATACATATACTTTTTAAGGGATTCCCGACATTTCCTTCCGGGTGTTACTTCTTCGTCGCAAGCTTAATATACACTGTTCGGCGTATAAAATGATATCGATAGTTGTCATATTTCTTAACACTCACACAAATTAGCTACAGCTGAAAATAATAAATTTCAGACATTGCCCATTCATATTTCACACAAAACTACAAATATAAGTATGTATAAATTTAAAGTAACAACAATTAAATATCAAATAAATGTGTTTGCTTGAAATGTGGAATGTATTGCCACAATTGTTTTCGGTGCCATTCTTACTGCGTTAATATTTGTTGATATCGATTTCTTCCAACTTTTATGTTATTTTTTATTATTATCATTTATTGCATTGCTTAGCTGATTTCAAGAGCAGGCAAAACAGGCACACAACAAAAAAGAAACAATAATAATTAAACCAGCAGCGGCGACGAAAAGCAAAACAAAGTCTAATTAAAATCAGAACAACAACATACGAAGAATTGCTGATAACGTGTTTGGTGACATGAGTTGCCAAATATACTAGAAATACATATACATATGTATGTACGTATATAGTGCAAGTAGCAGAACGAAGCAATTAAATACGAGTGCAAGAAGAGAGTTGTGTCATATGTCAAATACACACAAATGACAATCAGCTGACTTTTGAATTTCAAAGTACCGAAATTTTTTTGCATATATTATCGAACGAACATATGTATTTATGATATATGGGCAGTTTATCGGGCAAATAGTTTTAGATACATGAGCGTTTTTGTGAAAATTCTTAAACTTAGTGTAATCGGCTTACAAAACTTTAAACGACTTTTTTCTCGATACGCAGTTTTCAGTGTCGACGGGTAAAATATTTCGAAAACGCCTGGACTGATCGATATAATTTGCGTAATGTCTTCTTAGTCGTAATAGTCAGATTATTTAAGCAAAAAAATCATGCTCACCGCCTGACACTCTTTTTCGGAGCTCCTTCTGAAGATCGGTTCCCGGTTAAAGGGTATACGAAATTTTTCATAATAAATCACTGATTATTAAATAAATGACTCTCATAGAAGCCCTCGTCACTATTGGCAAAAAACTGGGGATATTGATTTTCACAAGCTTATCTTGAGGCTATTTTTTTACCAGCAAAAGCCATCACTATAAACAGGTGGTAATCATTGGTGCCAGGGACTTTAAGGTGGATGCATAGCAACTTCCGAACCTAGTTCCCGGAGCTTCGGCCAGTCACTATCGATGTGTGATCTTGGCGTTGTTCTAATACAACACAATTGCTCTCTTCTTAGCGATAAGTGGTAGTAGCTTTCTCCAGCCTGTTCAATTGTTAGCAGCACAGATCCGAAAGAAAAGCTTTGTTGTGGAGCACATCATAGTAAATGATTCCCTGCCTATTCTACCAAACACATGGCAAAATCTTTCTGGACTGTCATTCTTAGTTTGATCACCGTTTGTGCTGCTTCGGTGCTGTGCGACTACGACCGTTTTTGCTACACGTTGTCGTCTCTCACTTACCAAACGTTTCAAAAATGTTTAGATTTTTTGCGCTCTGTCTAATATCTATTACTACTAATGTTGATTATAGTACACCGAAATGTTGGAATCGGGCAGATGCTGAATATATCCTGATCCCATCAAATTGTATAATTTTAGATTTTTTTCGTTTTCTCTTTAGGTTAATCTGGTAGGCCAATACGCCACGCATAGACCAGTTTGGTCCTCTGGGATATCAGATGGAGTTCAGTTGCTAAGTCAATGTATAATAAGTAGTCATAGTTTGGGATTTCAACATTTAACGAATTTCAACAGACTTTGCGGTCTCACTATTGATACCGCCTCCAGTGTATCACACCGTAGGAACCCCAAATGCGTACATCGTAGTCTTGACAATGCAGGACAAGTGCACAAGAGTTGCTCCATTGTTTCCCTGGTGCCCTGTTCTAGCCATTTCCTGCAGTCTTCACGATCTGTCAGCCCCAACCTCCGGGCGTGTGTTGCCACCAGACAGTGACTAGTTAGAATTCCCATCATGTTCCTATAGACAATAGAAATTTTGTTTACTTACGACCTACCGTTTTGCAGTTTTGGACCCAGGTAGCTCGTTTCATCTTGAATGAGGTTTCCAACTCAAGTTTACAGGCAAAATTTCGCGTAAAATATAGCAATATTTCGTAAATGTTTTTCCATAACTGTTTTCAGCAGAAAAAAAAATTCTAAAAATCGCCCTCAAACGTGACAAAATGACAAAACCGTACTTGATATGTACATATGTATGTAACTAAATCAAGCATGAGCTGACTCATATGGCTGAGGCTTATACTTTCATATTTCCATTATTAATATTGCTCTTCAATCAACCTTTTAACAAGTTGCCTCTGTGTCGCACAAATCAATAAAGGGGCAGACAATGTGCAACAAAGCAGGCGAACAACAATCAACCCTGTATATGTTTGTGGAAGATGACAGCTGTTTCTTCGACTTGACGCCTTACAAATATATCATCCACAAGTTTATGACACATAACAATAAACTATATTAATAACAAAACATTATTGTATGGGGTGGTGGGGTACATAAGCGAAATTGTAATAACAAAAACTTTGTGGGGTGTATAAACCTTTAAAGAGCATTCGCATTTGTCGGTGTGTGTTTGTGGATGGTATGCGGTGCGTTGTGGTGTGACAGGTCAGTGTCATCATCAATTGTTAGGAATTAATACGGCACAAAAATCCACTTTTTTATTGACATTTAAATATGTTGGGTATGAAATGGCAGGCGGGAACGTAGGCAATTTTTAAATACATGCATGTGTTAAAGCTATTGAGCGACTATTGTCACATTTAATTATTGCTGGTATTTCAGCTGTTTGAAATATGCATGACAAAAGCTTTGCTATTGCAGAGTCTGATTTGTTTCGCTTTGAAAATCAATAGCAGCTATTTTAACAAGCATTCGATTAAAGTCTTTGTATGAAAAATATCCACAAAATGGTTCAATAATACAATATTGTTGCATTTTTTTAAGAAACTACTGTAACAAAGAAAAATTGTCAGTAAAAAAAAAAAAATACGCGTTGCATAAATAAAACTATTTACAAACACAAATTTTTTGGTTAGCAGATGTGCAGATATTGCCGAATAGAGGTGAAAACTGTAATCAAATAACAACATTAAAAATATATGAAAGCGAAAATTAACAAAAACGACAACAGTCATTGCTGATAATACATACAATATGTGAAACAGGTAATAATCACACTGGTGTGACCATACTGATAAATGAAACAAAGATTTAAGGAAAAGTGACACAAAAAGGAAATTTGTTGGCGGTGTAGAAATGAAACAAGGTTAAAATTTAGTAAATATGCATAGTAATCCATGCTAAATTTCATGCCGATATCTTGTCGAATGAGAAAGTTTTCCATACAACCGCTTTGCTCAAATGGTTCAGTTTGTATGACAGCTATGTGCAATAGTAGTCCGAGCTGAATATATTCTACGGAGATTGTAGCGAAGCTCATTTTCGTGCAGGTGCCTTGTTAAGTTGCAAATGCTATGCAAGGACTTGGGTTTTATAGGTAAGTTTGTATGGCAGTTATATGCCATAGTTGGCCGATAACGGCGACTTTCCTGACGTGATATTTTTCTCATTCTGTTTCCGGGTCATAAGCAAAGATCTAGGACTCATCGTCAGTAATAATACGTTTCATGGCATCCTGATAGTCGGAAAGCTATGTTTCACAGACGTTAACAATCATGCTTTCACTTTCCCTAGGCAGAAGTTTTCTTTCAAAATGGTTTACACTGACCTTTCCAATAAGATCTCTGATCTTTATTTGATCATCAGTTGACGTTGAGTGTCGTCCTAGTCGTGGTTGATCGTCAACACTTAATCGAGATTATTTCAATATTTTGTACAAATAAAAAATATTTCCTCGCGATAAACAATTATCACCGAAGGAAACCCTTTTCCAATATTCTAAACGTTTCGGCACCAGAAATTTGATTCCGCCCACAAAATTTAATGGAACTCCTTTGTTGAATAATATCACTCATTGTACTATGTACTTCAGAAAGACAAGCATATAGTAAACATTAATGATTATTTTGATGTGACTTAAAAAATATTTCGACGAATGTGTGTTCGACCGCAGTTTAAATTAAAAAGTAGTATGAAAACTCATCTGCTGCATAATTGAAAATCAGTAAATATTGCTTTAAGCTCCAATTTTTCAAACGATGCATGCTACAGTTCCTCTTTATTCTTTATGAAGGATGAAATATGCTCGGCACGCATAGTGTGAACACACTATTATGACACTCATAAGTGAAACCAGGACTTGGCACGAAGTTTGGACACATTGTTAGTCGTTTAGAAAGCAGAATATTCTCCAAGAAATAAATGAATGCAATCTTTAACTGAAAAACTACTTTCGCAAAACCAAAACAGATTCGCTTCAAAGTTGACTAATCATTCAATACCAATCGATTATTTTCATATGTCAAAGCGTTAACATCGAAATGTGTTTTAGCAATACAGCCAAATTCAGCAAAAATATTTATTAAATTATATTTTTTTTATAAAAACAACTATTTATGACAATATCAAACAATAAACACACTTGAGTTATAAACTTAACGCTCAATTTGCAAAAAAACATGAGCGTATATTACACGCTACCGCGAACTTAGCATTTCCACAGTTGATTGGACGATTGGTTCCGCATTTTTTTTCTCTAATTTTTTAATACTTTTTATGATATGCACAAACAAAAACAGTTGACTGTCTAATATTGCAACAATTTCGAAGAGCAACGAAAATAAACGAATAACTTCATGTAGTGAGCAGCGAGCGAGTTAACAAGAATATTGATTACTTGAAGACTGATAACAAAATGAATTGATAAAAACTGATAGCGTAGTGTGCTTTTTTGGACTTGATTTCACTTGCTCGTAAATTCTGCACTCATGAATGGTGGGAATTATATTTATAGTAATTTATATGTGAAACTTTTGAACACTATCACTTATTTTATCTGTCCCCATAACTCTAACAAATTTTTGCTGCAATAGTGGCGTTTTAGGAATTTTTTTTTTGATTTTTATTAAAGCAAAGTCTATTGAGAAATAATTAAAATTGCTGCCTTTATGTCTAATTTAATTCGATTTTATATACATATATACATTACTATATTATTTTACCTTAATTTTTTATCGCTATCCGTAAACGATAATCGATCTTCACTGGTTATAAAAATTAAAAATAATAATAAATTATTTATCTATTGGAATTCACTATACCACCTCAGTAAATTTTTTCATTACATTAATTTTTATCGATATCGATAATTAATTGATTTTACCGATTAAATAATGATATGAAATAAATTGTTCATATATAGATAGAGTAATTATCAATTATTAAATTTTTATTACTTTCATTTATTTAACGATAAATAATCGATTCGAACCGATTAAAACATAAAAAAAATATTTTTTTATCTACTGATATTAATTAGTTAAGACATAATTAGAAATCGATTCCGCTTAATTATCGAAAATATGAATTTCGATCCTCTCTAATATTGATCTATTACATAATAGTTTTCAGTTTTTTTTTAATTTTCGGAATATTGCAATTAAGGTTATGCAATAATTAAGCTAGAAGTTAAGATTAAAAAATAGTAGATAAAAATGAACATAAAAAAATATTTTTCTATCTACTGATATTAATTAGTTAAGAAATAATTAGAAATCGATCCCGCTTAATTATCGAAAATATGAATTTCGATCCTCTCTAATATTGATCTATTACATAATAGTTTTCAGTTTTTTTTTTTTAATTTTCGGAATATTGCAATTAAGGTTATGCAATAATTAAGCTAGAAGTTAAGATTAAAAAATAGTAGATAAAAATGAAAGCTAGGTAGATTAATTAAAAATTGAGACGCGTGAAAGACCATTACATATGTTTGTGTACTTAGTTTATCACCATTATACTCACAATCTTATTGAGAGCATGACACATTTCGAAACACTAAATAATGTTATTAATTCATTAAGCGGGAAAATGAAGGGGCTTAAATAGTTGTCACTTTCATTTTCGCTTTTACTAAGCCTCAACAAAGAAATGTATGAGAAAAAGCATATCTATATTTTAGAAAATATATACATACATATGTATGTATCTATAGCGAAAAATAAAATTATGAGAGAAAATGTGATTAACAGCCAATTGAAAGTATTTTTTTTTTGTGTCGCGAGAGAGAAATAAATGACATATTTTTTCCCGTAGGCTCAAAGATTGTGTCATGCATGTGACGGCTGACGCATAGCGATTCCGCATCCCAAAACCGAACGCAAAAAAAAGAAAACAAACAGATAAAGTTGCTTTAAAAGGCAACTTGACCATCACATTACCAAATTCGTTGCAGTGAAGGCGATTATAGTCGACATTCAAAATGTTTGGGATGCACACATAAACGGGAAAAAATACATACAAAGCGAAAACACAGCTGTTGTTAGCTTTATAACGGTATACATTTGGTTAACGATGACGCGTTTAAACGACACAGCGTGATTTAGTATTAAATTTCGAGGTAAAGTCAAAGTTTTAAGCCAAGAATTTCTGGCATCTGTGTCAATTGGCCGGCAATATGCGACCACACGTGAACTTTAGTACGGTTGAACGTGTGAAACGGCAGGAATGCAACGAAAGTGAAAGCATGCATGTAAACATAAGGCGGGTGAGAAGTTACAAATAACTGCAAAGAAATGTAGGGAAAAACAGCTGACACTACAATATGAAGGTAATTTATTTAATTCTTCTTTATTTATTTTACCAAAAGAAAGTGTGTGCAGACATAATTGAGTGCTGAAATGCAATCGAAGCAATGAAAACAATTAATCATTTGCGAAGTGATTAACTAGAATAAAAAATAAAAATTCTTGTAAAAAGCAAGTCATGCACTTCCCACAACCGTTTATTCAGGTTACGCACTAATTGCACTCAGTTTCTTTCAATTTATTGACACATTTTAGTTAAAATTTTTTATCTTGCCACTCGTATTCTTGCATTTACCTTTATTACAATCTTTTGGTGTTGCGTTTGACACTTTGGGCATCCACAAATCGCCTGTACCAGTTTTCAAATAAATCATGTTTATTGCCGTTAGTAAGCGGGAAAATATTTTTAAATTTTCAGAGGCTGCGTGAAGACTGTTATGTTCAATGAAAATATATAACTTAAATTTATTTATTGCGTTAATTATATTAATTCGAAGCACAAAGAATTTAGCAGGGATATTTGAATTGTA